GCGCATAAAAAAAAATGCAATGTGGTTTTATGTGATGTTTTGCTGTGTGTGACTCAATACAACTATAAAAGTAGAATTGCGCAGATGAAATTCAAAAGTGTTGACCCATTCTGTAAAAAGCCGCAAGCACTTTAAGCATCCTAACACATGTTCTTCAGACCAAGGCTAATTTTTTACCGCGAAAGCCAAGAAGGCTACTAAGTGAGAGTTTAGAAGTACCTCATTTAGGTACTTTTTAGTTTCTGTGTTGAAAAAAATAGCCCCTATTATTTTGGAGGAGTGATGTTAAGATTCAGTATGTACTTGTCCTTTCACCAAGCGAGTTCTCGCAACGGAGTACTGCAAAATCCTGTATTTATTTTGTCTCTTTCACTAATCGAAATCCCGCAATGGCATGATGCAAAAACGCGCACTATTCTTACTGGTTATAGGAAGTTCACGACTTTCATCAACAAAACTTTATGGTTTTTTGTTACCTCCAGCTCCACCGTAAAAGTTAGGCTTCAATTTTTGGCTAAATCATAAATTGCATAAATTTGCCTAACAGAGCCGGAGATCGTAAGTAATGAAGAAGCCATTTAATTTTGATTTTTTTTTTTACTTTGCACTTTAGTAAAAAAGCTTATATGTGTTTTTGCATTTGCATTAACGTGGAAGAGTGCATAATAAAAGCAGTCTACCGGATTCAGATCCATAGTGTAGTAAGTGAGCACACTGATAAAGACACCAAGGCACGTTCTAACTTCCGTATCGTTGTAAAAGAATGTACGGTACAGCGTCACTAAGCGATACGGCGCCAGGGTGAGCACAGTGAAAATTGTTGATATAAATATGAAATAAAACGTGCGCATTCGGGACACAATAGCGTGATTTTTCCTTGATGCACCGCCACTTACATTACACAAGCTTTGCTCTGAAATGCGCTAGATCATTTATCAAAAGAAAAGAGGAAGACCGGACGGAGGAAAGGGAAAAAAGAAACTCAAATGAGAGTGGGAAGGAGTAAAAAAATGGTTGAATGGAATCAGATACTGTTGAAGAAGAGCGGAGGAGACACCAGGATAGTAAGTGGTAAAATAGGGGGAAGTGCCAGGATGAAAATAGGATCAAGAAATGTTTGATTCAAACGTATTACGTAATATCATATACTGAGGTCCCAAGTTGTCACATGAGGCACAGAAACTGTAGGACCTCAAGACAAATTATAAAATACGAACAATGCTTTGAATGCTACTCGATGATAACAGGAAAATCGAAATGAACGTAAAATCTGCAATTCAAAAAGGACAGGACCGCCTAGACAACTGGTGTAATATTAGTGATGTTACTGGAATGTTCTTACACGTCGAATCTATACTAAGCCAAACTCTTCGATTCCCAG